AACACACACACACACACACACACACACACACACACACACACACACACACACAGAGGTGAGCAAAGCTTTGAATGTGTGTGTGCGACATGGAACAAAGCAAAAAAAAGGCTTGATGAAAATGCAAAGGAAGGTCACTTCCTCTTCCCACACATCATAAAGCCTCATCCTCTGCCTCCCTGTTCTCCTCCTCTAATGACTCTGCCTTCTTCTCTCCCTCCCTCCATCCTTTCTTCCTCTCCCTCTCCCCCACATTAGCAGCCTCTCCACTCTGCCAGGTCGGTAACGTATTCAAGCCTACAAAGAGCTAAGAAGGGAAGAAACATCAAATGAATAACTTATAGAGAATCACGGCACCGTCTCTCACCTGCTAAAAGCTAAAGAAGGCCCAACAAAACAAGCGAGTCCCAGGGGGCCCTGCACCACCAGCAGCCGTTCATGTCTGTATAAAGTGCTGCTGACAGCAACCCGCCTCCTCTGTAGTCTGCGGGAAGTTGGAGAAACAAGGGCGCTGTTGATGTTTTTGATGCTGTAGTTGTTTTCTTTAGGGATGGAGCTGGAGTATGCAAAGTAGGCTGTACTCTGCTTTCTTTTCTTTCACCTCCCCTGTTTCAATCAGAACATTTTCTCTGCCMCACAGAATTTAGAGGGATCCTTTAAGTCGGACAGGAAACATGCCAAACTGAAGGCCCGTGGGCCAAATCTGGTTCCGTTAACATTTTATCCGGCCCCAAAGGAAAAACTTTAAATGCTTTTGTCTTTATCAAATGCATCTCTAAGCAATAATAAATAAAAAAGTTGCTGATTAATTAATTTAATTATTTGTTTATTTATTTCAAACCAGTAAAAAATGGTCTTATAGCACAAAGCAAGTTTCGAGGAAAGAAACAAAAAACACACACAAAAATAATACAAATCACACAAAAAGGCAGGCACAGTCAACATTTTATCTGTTCGAATAGGAGTAAGAACTATAAACTTATTTAATCCTACCACTTACCTATATTATTTCTTATGCAAAGTGTAATGTTTTATAATATTTTGTATTAGTAATGTATTGATATCTTAATTTGGTATTCCAACCCATTTCATTGTAAGGCAAAAAAATGAATGCTAATGATGTCTTTCTAAATTAAATAATTTTAAATTTATCTGTTAAGGTAACTATGTTTTAAATGCTACATAAAGCATCATATGTAAAGGTTTTTTTTATTTCTATGTAACTTTCTTATTTCTATGTAACTTTTGTCAAAATATATTGACAAATTKAACTAAGTTTTGAATATTTTCCCCCTTGTGCCACTGAGTTTGACCCCACTGCTTTAGGAGGTCCAACATCAGATTTGAGAGCGACAAAACTTGCAAGTCATTTGAGTAGATTTGACATAACGCTGTGGGACCTGTGTCAATAGATGAGTATGAAGTCAGATTTAAACTCACCAATAACCTAAATTGTTACTTTTTTATCATTATAAAACTCAGTGGGAAAAAAATGCATTTTAGTTCAACAGACCCAATTTTTTTGTAAAATAGGAAAGTGGGTTAAAGTGGTAGTTTAATTCAGCCCATTTAAATGTTGGTTTCATAATATCCCTGGTTTGCCCAAAACAAGTACAACATTTTAGTAATTCAAACACCCATGATGTGTCCATTCATCTGCTCAAACTGCACAATGCAGTCGGGTTGACAGTGGCTTGGTGGCGATTGGCCTGCAGCTAAGGCTAGAAGACTGGCGATTTCAGTGGTGGGGGGCTTCATTAGTCTAGACAAGCGCAATTCAATTAGATTTCAATTAGTCCGATGGCGGAGGTCAGAGACGCTGTGGGTTTCCCGGTAATTAATCCGCAGAGCCGCGCTGAGCCCGAGCTAAAGTGAGCCGCAGCAGGCGTATATGGGGACATCTAGATGGGCACAATGCACGAAAACCCCCCACGGGTGGCTGGGTGGGTGGGTGTGAGATGGAGGCGGGGCCAGGGTCTGCCAGCAGATCCCCACTGACCTTGATTCACACACAGTCAGCTGGGAAAGGGGAGGAGGGACTGATGAGGAGACAGATAGCAATCTGGCACAGCAGACAGATAAACACACACAGTCATGAGAACACTGGAAAACACATCGACGCACTTTAAGTACACACCAGCACGCGGGAGAACACAAACTCTCAGAGGGACAGGGATAAACCGAAGAGGTGTGTGTGTGTGTCAGAGAAAAGATGGATCTGACAGACAGGAGGATGGATGAAGGGAGTGATAGACTAGTCTGTCATTCTTACAGAGGAATGAAAGCAGGAGCAAAGAGAGAAATGATGAAAGTCAAAGAGATAGGCGGCCATTCAATTGGCTGATGCAGGCGGGAAGAGGACGAGGAGACGGAGGGAGAGAGAGAGAGAGAGAGAGAGAGAGAGAGAGAGAGAGAGAGAGAGAGAGCGAGCAGGAGAAACAGACAGCGGAGCGTCTTTGCTGTCGTCAACACAGCCTGTTGGTGTAGCCTGTGCACCGTCCACTGGCCTGTGGTAATACCGCTCCCACCATCTGCTGCCATGCAGCACATGCACACAGTTACATGCGTGCACACAGACAAAGTGCYGCTGGCAGCTTACATCAGCTGCACTAAGTCACATAACAAAGCCCATAGTCACAGATCAGGATTATACAAAAGATCTGTAAGTCGCAACTATTGGTGTCGACACAGCAGCCTGTGGAGTGGACTGATGAGAGATCCGAAACCCTTTCATCTGTTGGGCAGAAACTCCTCGGCAAAAAAAAAAAATTCCTCAGTTTTGATTTGCCGGATACACCTTTGTGATTACGTTTCACTGGCCCTGGAGCAATAAGTCTTTTATGTAAAAAAAGAAAGGAAGAAAAATATTGAGTTGGGTAGGAGGAAAACTATTTCCCCTTCGTGATGAGCTCTTTTTTTTTTTTCAGGAAATGCGAGATTGGTCTGAAAAAGGGGGTTATAAATTAAATGTAACACTTCACCGAAAAGTTAGAGCAAATTTGTGCTGAAAAATAACCTTTACGTGAATCAGAAGGTCGTTCTAGACCACAACGAATGCCAGGTATTGTGTGTTTCAGCTCTCCTGTGTTGTTTCAGATGGCYTGTTAGCGAAGCAGTGAACGAGTCACATCGGGTCAAATAACATCCAGCAGTACGTGTGTTTTTATACTTTATAAATATTCATGTGAGCGCCGGCTCACTGGTCTCAAAACTGAAACGGAACAAGTTAAACTGAAGAAGGGAGAGACAGAAAGTTTRTCTATAAGATACACACACGTATATATTATTTATATATTGAACATCGTGTGGGACAGCAGTCAATCACAGTTTGGTCAAGCAGGCATGAACAAGGGAGAGTATTCGTCAGGGTTATGTTTTGGGGGACAGAGGACACTAGAGAATAGGTTAATGATGCCTTTTTTTGCAACATGTAATGTCAGATCAACTTTATTTGTCACACGCACAATCATACACGCTATATTATGCAGTGAAATGTGTTGTGCCTGCATCCAGTTGTCAGCGAAGCCCACAGGATTTTAAAAAATATTTATAAAAAAAACAGCACACAAACAGGACGAACCTTTCTTTTTGGTTTATCTGCAAAACCCATCCATAAGCTCCAACTGGTCCAAAACACAGCATCATTTCCAGATCCCCCTCCACCAGTCATAAAACACCTGTCCTCCTGCAGCATCTTCACTGGCTCCCCTGTGAATTTAGCATTTCCTGCAAAATCCTGCTTCTCACTGACACACACAAACGAAACTCTCAGGTCCTCCTCCTTCACCAGACTCCCCCAACCACCAGCTCGTTTGCCCCCCMCCTCTGGAACACAGGACATTAAAACCTTTCCCATTTTCCAATCACGCTAATAAACTCTTCTTTTTAAAACAGCCATATTCAGCTTAACCTCCCTCTCATCATCTCTATTTAAGTCGATGCTTTTCTGTTCCTCGTGACCCACTATCCCGCATGCTTTAGATCTTTTCCTGCTTTCACACACCTGAYTTGTATGAATGAGTGATAAACAGGTTTCTGAAGTATCAGAAGACCTGCTGCAGAGCAGGGAAACAGCTAAAAAATGCAGGATAGTGGGCCTCGAGGACCAGGGTTGGGAACCACTGGTTTAAGTTATGTTGTGTTTTATTATTTTCATTTGTTAGTTTATTCTTTTGTTTTCTGCATTTCACATTGTATTTTATTGTATGGTGCCTTTGAGTGCCAATAAAAGGTGCCTTCAAATAAACCTAAGGGTGTAACAATACCAGTTTTCCCCAAACCGAGTAAAAGTACTTCAGTTTGGATCAAGTACCGATACAGAGTACTTACTGAGTTAGAACTTAAACATTACACAATGACTTTCTTTTTATGTAGAACGAAGAGTCTCCCTTCCTTATAGGCCTACAGTCCCTCTGACTGGATCAAATCGTTTATACAGCAGGATATAATCAACACAATCTGCTGCTTCCTTTGACTGATAACTATAACTAACTGGTTTTGATGATGCATGTTAATGTTTCCGTACAGACACCTGAGATGACTTTTACTGTGACCTGGCGCTACATAAATAAATATATGCACATTGTTGCAAATTTTTWAAATAAATAAAAATAGAGATTTTATTTCCTCATCAGACATTGTGGGTGGGTTCAGTCAGGCCTGCCGATGAGGCCTCAACCCCACCCCCCCAAAACATTTTTTTGACTTCATTTAATATAAAAATTGGTTTTGAGTCAGTTTTCAATTTAAAATTTATGAATCAATGCAGCAAAA